AACTTTAACCGACGACACCCCGGCTCGGCATTAAGTTTTTATATTCCCTTAGTCTGATTTATATATGGATGTGTCTGTGTCTGTGTCTGTGTCTGTGTGTGTGTGTGTGTGTTTGGGTGTGTAATTACACGTGAGCTCATAATGAATTTAATGCTTAAGCGACCAGCGTGGCGTATGCGCAATGCCCGTGCACTTTCAGCTAATCCAACGCTGAGCGCTAAGTGCAAGCGTATAATCAAATTGATGTCGAATGAGAGAGGAAGGTTAGCGGGGCGAACCGAAGCATTAGATACCCTTTATGAGGTATTCTAAATGGTATTAATAACCAAAAGAATGACTATGGATATATAGACTTTTCCTTTGATGGCAGCGAGTAGTTTACACCAAGCGGTAACAGTACTCAGTGCTAATTACTAAGTGGCGGTGATTCTCTGTCAGGAAGTGGGGAGAGAGTGCCAAGTCAAGAGAGGGTCTGAAGAGGGTGTATGGATGAGGGGTAAGGGTATTTTGCAGCAATTTTACATTGCTCGCATTTCGCTTTGGCCTGAATTTCCCCTTCAATACCACCATAGCTTCTGCTGCTTTATCTTCTGCTCCATGCAAAGTTATTTAAATTAAATTCCAGTCACAGCTTCAGTCTCTGGCACCCTGCTACCCCTGATACACCCTCACCCTCACACACACACACACACGTACACATCAAAGTTTGGCTGAACATTTCCCTTCGGTTTCCTTCGTTTTTTGCACCCACTCATCCCCATTCCCCGTCCCCGTCCCCATCCCACCAAAGACAATTAAATGTCAGAGAATGACCGTGACTCTGTTCGGCTTTTTTGTTCCTCGACGCTGCCGCTCTGCCAATGGGAGAGTTATGCGGGACAAGTTTGACATATTGTCGGAGTGGGTTGAAAACTATAAAAATGCATTGGATTGCACTCGCAGTACGCTGTCGTTGTTCCGCTTCTTGCTGTGTGAACTTCCTGTGTTTTGCAGGCGCTTCGGAGGATGTTAATTGCTCTGGCGTGGCAATTTGTCAAGCAGCGTTGCAAAGTGTTGACAACAATTCGCTCAAAGGAGCACGGGGAAATGAAAAGACAAACAGAGGGTAGAGGAGAAAAGTGAAAAGGAAAACAATATGTACATTGATGGTAGGAGTCTCACGTGGATCAACGAGATGTGTAACCCCGAGACCCTTAAAGACAGCCAGAAAATGGCTGGGCATTGTTGAACATTTTTCCAACATTTCCATCACAATAATCCTTCCCCTAAAACCATGTATTATTCATACATTTGGCTCTCTCTTTCGAATGGCTAAAGTCACGTTCATCATATTTTTGATAGTGCCACAAAAAGTTGCCTACTCTTTTGGGGTCATCTCTGGTCCAGTTCGCTTCCGGTTTTGCTAGTATTGTAGCTCCTCCCTGCTATCATGCTATCAGCACATGCATGCGTCGCTCAACAACTGACTTGTCACTCTCTGTCACTCCGCCGTAATTTATGCCCTCTTCTCTGTTCGTTTTTTATGCCTTCCTGTGCGGGGGTAGGGAATGATATTCCCTTCCTTTAGGAGGATATGAAATTTAAGCTGCTTGAAACAATGTTGGAACCATAATTTATGCCCCAAATACCACGATCTACTGTTGGAAAAGAAACCGTATAGAAATGGAAATCCAAGAGGGAATTTGGTGGCTAATTAATGCATTTTTGAGTGGTGGCCCTCGCATCTTCTTTTACGAGGGGATTACAGAATTTGAAAAGGTTTTTCTGCTGCTGTAAACTCATATAAATAGCCAACAAACAAATAACTTTCAGCTCCCACTGGCATTCATTTGCATAATTAGCCACCGAAATGGCGGGTGGCACAGGAACAAAAAAAAAAAAAACCAAGTCATGTTTGTATAAATTTATGCATTGTCCTCGAAAAGTTCAGGGGTGGAAAAGTGCAGGCCAATGGAATTTAATTATGGCAAAATTAGTGGGCAAATCTACGGTTATATCCGCTTTGTTGGCTTCAAAGATAATGAGATGCTGGTAGCCAAATATTACGAGTACATGAGGGTTGAGCATCCCCACTGCTCCATATAGGATATATCACAGAAAGTGAATGCAACCACAAATGAGGGAACACTGTGGAAGAGGAAATCCACTCACTGATATGGAACAGAACAGAACAAAATAGGTAGAGGCCCCATGGAAATAATAGATAAATGCTGTGGCAATAAATGACAGTAACTAGTGCAAGTACTCGCGCAACAATAACAATCACAAACAATGAATGGAGCAGAGGGAACCAATGGAAACAGTCGAACCGGGAGATACACTACCAAAGTGAACAGAACAGCAGCATATTTGATTCAGCACACTTCAGAGCAGAGTCAAAGTCAACCCCTTGAAAGGGTATCCGCATAAATGCAGACAACACACGCGCACACAATGGGGCCAGCGGAAATGGAGAGCGAGACAAACGCGCAGCATACAATATGTACATGAATGCACATGAATCTACTTCTGTGTGTGCGTATCTGTGTGTGTGCAGCATACAGAAGGCTCTTTGTGGCGACAGACGCACGTAAAAGGAATAACCAACACACACACACGCACACATAGTTCGCTTACATACATATGTATGTATGCGCGTATAAATACTTTCTGTTGGCGTGTGCTCTGGGGTTGGGAATATGGGGCTGAATATGCAAATGCCACTCGCAGCAACAAGGCAAATATAAATATGGTTAGCAAATAAATACGAATGCAAACGAGCATCCGAGACCGGAAGTGCCGGGAAAGCGGAAGATGCATCTGGCTTACCGGAAATAGACGCCGGGCGTGCGCTGGTCAATATCCGAGGGATAGATGCGACCCACACGGCACTTGCTGAAGAAGATGCCAATGAAGGAGGGATCCCGCTTGGTGGGCCAGTCCTTAATGGGGAACACCAGAGGATATGTGAGGTACTCTGGTGGATCGGAGAACTCCAGATAACCATTAAGAGAGAGCTGAAAGTATAAACGATGAGTTTAGATGGAGTTTGAATCGGGTTGAGGGTGTCTGCGGCTGTCTTACCCTGGTGTAATTGAACCTGAAGCCGTAGAATGGCAGCTGGAAGTTCAGATTCTTGTGGAGCTGTGTCATCGAGGCGTGGATATCGAACTGATAGTCGGCACGGCCGCCATACATATCCTTATCGAAGTACCAGTACATGAAGTTGTTCCGCAGCTCCGCGAGACGTGCGGTGGTGATCGTATAGCCTCCGGCTGCCGTTGAGGCACTACCCGGCGGGGCGACGTTATTGTTGGGATCTGCAAAAGAAAATTCACCCGTTAAGTTTGTGAAACATTTGTAGAGCAACCTCTCGCCTATCATTTTAATATCATACATAATCCCAGGAGATTACTTTTTCAATTCCCCAGTATTACTGGGAGGCGAGTACTCTACTACTTTGCTGCAGGAAAAGTGAGGTAAACTTTGCCATCTTCGCTATTCTTTTTTGATTTTCCTGCCTGCTGCTCTCCACTGCTTCCTGCTGCATCTTGTCCCTCTTGCCGTGCCGTGCCGTGCCGTGCTCTTGGCCATTAAAGGTCACAGTTAATATTCATTTCTGCTACTCCTCTGTGGCTCCTCCTTTTCTCTAATTTCTTTTTGCCGCCTGCCTTCTGCCGCTGGCCTTTTAAAGCAATTTAAGCTGATTAAGTGCAAAGCTGACGTTCCCAATGGACCCGGTAGCAGGACCTAAACCAGCACCAGTACCAGCACCACTGGCAGGCTGCTTAAAGCTATTGCTCTTGACGCTAACCAGAAGACTGCAAAATTGCAAGCGAAGTTTCGGCCAAGGGGAGCGCAAGGCAGACGCCTGGCAAAGATTTCAAAATATTTCTGGCATCTCGGATGAAAGCTGAGGTTTTCTCGGTTAACCGTTGAGGGAACTGACAGGCTACAGCACACTTAAACAGAATTCATTTTCGTCGCTTTAAGGTCAGGTTTAAGTTCTGAAAACACGTCCATCAATCAATTACATATCTTTACCTCGCTGTCATGTTCCGCTGGTTGCCCCACTCTTTTGAATGTTAATTGAATATTTCATATTGAATCAGTGTCAATTAATGGATTTTTTCAAAGCAGCTTTACGCTTCAATTATGCGTACTATGGCAGTGGGTAGAACTATTTTGGAACAAGGAAATTTTTAACAAGGGAAATTCTGCATTGATATTATTACCCAAGGTATATTTTATTTATTCCTTCATATCGAATCGTGGTTAAATGGAAAGCAGATTTACGCATCATTTATAATTATATTCATACTCCAATTAATCTCTCTACGACCTTCCCTTCTGTCCAGCTGTCAATTACCGAGTGCCGAGTGAATTATTGGCCATTTAATGCACAGATTGTCGATTGTAATTACACGGCTAACGGACAGTCAACGGACAGTCAACGGACAGTCCACCGTTGAGAATCATAAAAATCCAGACTCTGTCTCTGGCAGATTTTTCTAGATTCTTTTTTGGGTTGTCCTTGGATCTGTGAACATCTGTCGCACAATGCCCGCAGCAGCAGCAGCAGCAGCGGTCTTTTTAATCTATTTATGAATCAATGCCTGCAGCGGGGTACCATAAAGTACGCTAATCCTTTAAGGGTCCGCGGATTAAAAGCGGCAGCCGCTGCCTTCTTTTGGTATACGTGAAAATTGGTGCGCGGAAAACACGTAAAATTCGCGTGTTCGGGTTGCATTTCCACGGAAACTATGTGCCATATTTCTTTTTTATAGATAGATTTATAGATTTCATAGATGGCTTAGGTAGATTCCTGGAATTCTCCAAGTGGCGAGTCAAGCAGGGAAGGATTTTGTAGAGCGACGGCAACCGCATCGTAATGGTGGCTCTCTACCTGCATCTCTGCAAAAGGATATGGCGGGATCAGGTAGGAGCTTTGCTGTCGCTGCTTTTGCTATATAAACCCCGGCATTGCTGTGTCCTGCCACATTCAGTTAGCAAACCTCAACATGAGCATCAGCACTTTCAACTTCCAGTTCTACAACTACAAAATGCCAGCGGCCATGGGCAGCAGCACTTCGCGCTCCTCGTCGTCCTTCATCAGCGAGCTGGAAATGGACATTGATGAGGAAATTTCCTCGCCAGCCGTCACCTCGACGCCCAAGCCGCGCTTCACCACGGAACTGGCCCTCCAGCTGCAGCGCGATTCATCCTCGCCAGCTGCCGCTGCAGGCCCGGCAAAGACCACACTGCCCTGCCTGAGGCCTCAGCTTCACACGGCCCAGAAGCGTTGGTCCATGGAGTTGCGCGAGAAGGTCCTGGAAATGTCCAAGCGCAACAACGGTTCCGATGGGGAGGAGCCACCACAGACCACAGAGCAGAAACAGCTGCAGCTGCAGGAAAAGGCAGAGCAGCCCATCGTGAACGTGGACCCCAATGTGGCCCCGACTGTCACTGACAAAATTAACTTCTTCAACAAGCTGACCAACACCTTCGAGTCCGCACGGAGCTGCGCCACCACTGGCACCGCCAACAGCAACAGCAGCAAGTGCAGCAGCAACAACAACAACAATCGCTTCATTTCGCTGCTGCGCTCCAGTCGGCCACAGGGCATTGCCACCACAAGCTCCTCCAACAACAGCAGCATCAGTGGCATCTCCGTCCTCAGCCAAGTGCCGCCCCCGAAGCCCAAGCGTTTGATGGCCACCGCATCGCCCTGCTCTACATTTGCCATGCCCTCGTCCATGGGAATGGGCGGCAGCCAGCGCAAGTGCTCGCTGCGGCGCAAGCCCTCAATGGACAAGTCGAGGGCCACGATTTCGCGCCAGAACTCGAGCGCCTCGGTGCGGCCCCAGCATCATGCCATCATGGAGGATCTCAGCCTGGTAGTGCCCGTCCGGTTGCGCATCGCCGAGTACGAGCAACGCATCTCAATGAGTGCATAAGAGAGGAGAGGTGTACCGTTGTGACCTATGTCAGAGAGGAGAGGATTGGAGAGGAGAGGAGAGGCGTGTGCAAAATGGTGGTTCCCAAGGATAACCTTAGCTGTAATCTATCCAAATAGTTCAGTAGCTCTAATTTAGTTGTAACTTTCAAAGAACAATAAATCTATGCATTAAATAACTAAAGAGGAACATTTATTTTCTATTAAATTCTATAAAGAAAGGTGAAAGATGGAGACTCAATACAAGTTGTACATGCAAAATATTCTTAAAGTGTTGCATCTCCTGTTGCATGTTCCATAAAACACTCTCAAAGATTAGAACATTCTTTCCTATGAAACATGCGCCATTGTCCTTCCAGCATATCTACCTTTTCTGAGAAAATATTTTGCCTGAATGCAACACCGCCTCAAAGCCCACCTACCACGTAATCACAGTCGAACAAAGAACTCTGACTAACGGTGATGGCATTCCAATACCAAACCAATGCCAATAGCCATTCCGCCCATCCTGAGCGAGTGATAAATAAAGTTCCATTGTAATATGCGACCCGATTGCGATTCCACACACCTGTACTCGCACAGAGCCATAAACTGATTCATGCTTGGGCAAGCGCAAGTATCCTCAGCTTTCCCTCTCTCACTCTCTCTGCATATACATATGTATATACTATATAGATATACTATCTTCCCCCACAACCACGCACTTGTTTTGTTTGCAGAGCCAAAAGGTAGAAGCAGAAAACAAGAAAACCGTTAGCTTTTAATGCCTCAACTCGGGCATTATCTTATCGGAGGGGCGAGAGAGAGAGAGAGAGAGAGACATAGCCACAGATAGGGAGAGCGCAAGTTTACGGCACCTGCCCGAACAAGTTATCGACGAGCAAATATTGGTAACTAAACCAAACTGAGGCCCTCCCGATAAGATAGCCAACAGAACGCGGCGGATGAGTAATGGCTATCAGGGACAACTCACCCCAATTGTAGCCGCTGTTGTCCACGTCGTAGAGCTCTCCCAAATAGTCGGATGGCATAACCAACGCCCCGGACATGGGCTGGGGCTTCAGACCGGCCACGGTCAAGATATCGTCGGTGCCACGGCTGGACAGCACCGGAACCATCCGCTGTCCACCCTGAACAGCTGCCAGGGCAGCCTTTGTGGTGGGAATGGCTGCAGGTGATTTCGGTTTGGGGCTCGGTTTCGCTGCTGGTGTCTCCACCTTTTTTGGCTTGTCTTCTAAGATCTCCACCAATTCCGCATCCTTTTGTGGCACCTTTTTCGCGGCGGCGGCGGCGGCTGCGGCTGCTGCTGCAGGAACCGGCACGGGCACAGCGTTCAGAACCTCATCCTCCAGCTCCGTGGAGATGTTCTCGTTGGCCAGGACATAGGCCATGAAGCCACAGGCCAGCGCACAAACCACAAACAGTTTGAAACGCATTTTCACTTAGTTTTTCGTTCGATTATTCGTTCGTTTTTTTTTGTTTTTCTTCGCACTGGAAAATAGGGAAACAAACACAAAATATTAGGACACTTTTTGGATGGGTTTTCTTGTAGTTTTTCACTGGTTTCTAAGAATTTTCACTTGATGACATCATCAGTATCAGTCAGAGGGCTTATCAGCTCTCTTATCACTTTTGAGCACTTGTCGTTATTCAATTACCAGGCAGAAAAACACGTTCGATCAGGGTCCACGCTCAGCTAAGACTAAAGTTAACTTTACGGAACAGAACCGATCGGGGCGTTGCCAAAACTGGTTCACCTGTCGTCGCTCGATTGTGAAACCCGGAGCCTTATCTTTCTCTCTTTGGGAGTCATATCATATCTTATCAGGGAAACTCACGCACTGATAACGCATTCCTGGTGCTCTTTTGGCCCTAACTTTCGTTTTGGCTAGGGCTTTACCACACTTATACCTATGCATCTCATCCTCTCTGACTCTCTGGGGGGATTGTGCAAGTTTTTGAATTACCAAATTATTTGTTTATTCCCTTCCACTCTCTCTCTCTCTCCGCGCTCTCTCTCTCCCTCTCTCTGTTGACTGTGGCCTCTACTGCCATTTGTGATTCATTTCCATTACAGTTAATCACATTTTTGGTTTGTCATGACGCGGCCATTTTGTGGTCCCTTCCTATAAGACACTTCCCGTTATAATTATAGACAATGACCCATTACTCGCTCGTCAAACGGCATTTCCGCTGCAGCTTAAGTTTTATGAATGGTCTACGGTCTGGATTGATTTCATTAGGCCATGAAAATGTCAGGGTCTTCATTGAGGAAGATCCATAAACGTAAAAAATGTGTCTGGGAGGGATTTGGACAAAAGATAATGAGTTGTAGGGGTAATGGGGAAATTAAAGTGATTGCAAAGCTTTTGTCTCTCTACATTTGTTGAATTCACTGAAATCGGAATAAGGTTAAAAATTTGTTATAGTTTTAGTATACAGATTAGAAAATGTATAAAAACCTTTTGGTCTATAGCCTCTACTCTTATTTATAATTTAAAAAAATAGCTTAGAGAACAACAGCGATATAAATAGCCAACAAAATTGTAACTACTTTTATTGCATGACACATTTTTCATAGTTAGTAAAAGCCCCCTTTTTAGCTCCCACAAAAACTATCAATTAATGGCCGGAACGTAATGCATTATCAGCTTTGGTGACTGATAAGAATAGGTTTCGAAATAGCAGTCACTAACTGTAAAACTAAATTCCATTCTTTTTTACACCACAACTACAGGTGGGGGAGACACCTGCCGAGAAGAGCTGTTAACAGCAGTATGTTAACTAACGCCAACAGTACGAGATAACAGCGATCGAACAGAAAGCTTTTTCGCTCTCTCTCTCTGTCTGTCTCTTCTAGTATCAGCACACACTGCAGGTCACTCTCACGCATTATCACTCTCATTCTCTTGTAGATTGCTTATCAGCAAACGGGAATACTACTTTGTGGGGGTCCGGGCTACACAACAAATCCCATCCAATTTCAGTTCTTAGTCGAACGGCAACCGGCGGCGGCTTTACATTCCCGTGTTCATCCATTCAGTGAAACGCTTCCCGTTTAATCAATGAAAATGCTACGCTGCTTCTCGCACTCGGAGACGAGATTCGCGGCGCTGCTCGTCGCGCAGACACGCCCACAGCGGGGCTATCACAGCGAAAAGGGCGTCTGGGGTTATAAGCCGATTCCCAAGCGCGACTATCAAGGTAATCTCCAGTGCCGGTTCACAAGTGTTGCCAAGACTTCAATTAAACAAGTTGCATCCATCCGTGAAGATAGCCATCGCACCGATAAGGCAAAAAATCGTTCAACAAAATCAAATAAACAAAATAGCAATGGAAATGTACACATCAACTAAAGAGAAAAACTCTTTGCTTGACCGCTCCTCGGCAAGCCAGTGAGAGCACAACAGCTGACCGAAAAGAAACCTCAAAACGAAAAGAAACACAGAAGAGAGAGAGGAGCAGGAAAACAATAAGAAAAGAAAAGATGGGGAAAATAAAAGATCAAAGACAAATTGCTGTGGGTAAACGCAAAACCCAGAACCAAAAGTCAAACAAAAACTGCAGCTCAAACTCAATCTTTTGTGGCGGTGGGCACATCGAACATGCTGGAGCACACTCCGTTATACATATGAATAGTCGTGCCATATACAAAAACTACTTACAATGGCTAGTGGGGCTATATTCATTGGTTTATGTGCTTCTCCTGCTAATCTTTGACTATCACTTCTCACTTTAACTTTAAGTTCTGCCTGCAAAAGCAGCAAACTTTAAGGAGAAATCCAACCCAATCCAGCTTCAGCTGCAGCAGACCATCGAACATGTTCGACGCAACCTGTTGGATTAATCTCTATGATTTATTGTCTGTGCCTCCGTTTATACGACTTCTTTTGGGCTAGTGGAATATTTCTTTGGTGGTTTTTTGTGTTTTTTACTAGTGGAATACTCAGTACTCTTTAGAGTGTCAGGGGTGCATTGTATATTTCTTTAGATATTTTTATCAGGCAGAAGGAATAATTTAATTACTTTTTAAACGGAATTCCCATAGCTTTACTCTCATTCTGAGATTGTTTTCAGTATAAATTCAAAGTAAATATTTTTCTTAGTGAACTCTCAGCAACTCTTTAGAAAAAGGTATCCCCGTGGTCCCAATTTGTACTCGATTTCTGTTTTTTTATGCTTTTCCTGTGTTACCTAGCCGTGCTAATCTTTGGTCTATGGCTTATCACTGTGTTTTCACTGTGAAATCTGATAAACTTGAAAATATATAGCCAGCTCCGGGGCTGTTATTCGTATATTTAGAGCTGCTAAAGATTGTAAAGGCCCCCCAGGGTCTCTCTATCAAGCAGCGCTAATTAAGAGCAGACAAGAGAGTGAACTGTTTCACACAGCAGATAGAGCAGATAGAGCAGATGGAGCCTCATCCTCTAGCCTCGCTACGGGGTGCCTCTACGGCCGGACAAAGCTGCTCGAAGCTCGACGAACAAAAGAAGTGGCCGAAAAATTGAGACTCTTTTGTGACTGTCCAGCATCCTGCCTGGCGACACAATTGAAGGCTTATCGAAACACTGGCCAGCAGTGCTCCGCCTGGATCCAACTCCTCCTTCCTCCTTTGACTGGGCTGGCGACTGAAACCAAGAGACAAGACATTGCCATTGCCATTGCTCTGTCTGTCTGCTCTGACATCAGTGCTGTGGCAGCTCCTGTGCCTGGGCCTGCTCCCGTGTCCGGTTTAATTCAGTTGACAGCCACCGTCCCACCCCGTGAGGATTCCGGGCTGGATCTCACTGTTCGTCATTCGTTTGTCAGTCTTGTTTGCTTGCATATCCGTCAGGCAGGCCATTATCCTTTGGCTCTTGAGGCGCCACTCCAATAATATTTGCACGCCCAAGTTGAAATGTTGTCGCCGCAAATATTCATTCATCATTCGTCGCGCTCCTGTCCGGCGCTCGTCCACATTAAATTGATTTATCACCGAAATGTGGTGTGGAAATTGCATAA